CGGATGGTGCCTGTTCCAGTTCGAGTGAAGCGGCGAGGAATCTGGGTGGTGGAGGACAGGTTGCTCGGCAATTCAGTTGTAAGTATATGATCTCGGACCCCATAGAACTCGGTACCGGTATAATCCTAAACCCTAAGCCCTAAACCCCTACTAAGACAAAACTTGCATGTTCGACTTCAACAGATGATGCTAGCCACAAACTGTTCGCCAAATCATTATCAAGTATGCCGAATCTAGAAATATTATGTTTAACTTATAATTAATCAATAATCGAAAAATTATTATACTATTGTCGACGGCAAAGGCATATGCCTGTCATCCTACCCCACGAGCTGGTGCATTCGCTGCATACGACTGGAGAGCTTACAAAGATGTACGACATGCAGGGCCTGCGAGAATATTGGGATCACGTTATTGGCCATGCAACGACGCAAGTGCCCTGGCCGAACAATGTTCCTCATATGATCCTGCCGGCAGGATTGCATGGAGACGATTGCCGCTTTACGGATACTGGTGAGAAGATTGTGGTGATCAGCTGGAACTTGGTCCTAGATTCCAAGCAGGTACGGTTTCCACTAGCAGTGATACGGTTCGCCACTCGGCTGCCCATGTATGCTGAGCGATGGAATCTCTATGATTGGGGCTTCGTGGACTTGGGGAATTAGGGTTGAAGGGTTTCTATTTTGGTGTTTCGAAATTAAAGGGGGCCAGGGCTAGACATCAGACGATCCCGACGTTTAATTCCGCCAAGCCACATAATATATGATACCAGGAGCTAGAGCGCTAGCAGATCTGAACCATGGCCAGGCATTGAGCACAGGGTTTGCGACGCTCCAAGCGCTATTGCGACCGGTGCCATATTTTGCAAAGATAGCATATTTTCTGTACATGTTGCGTATGTACAGGGTTAGGGTTTGGGGTTAATATATATATATATATATATAAGGTTTGGGGCTTAGGGTTTATAGGGTCAAGGGTTTAGTGTTTAGGGTTGTGGGTTTAGGGTGATTATAAGGGTTTAAGGTTAAGGGTATTTTATTATTATATATTTAAATATGACAATCTGTATATATGTACTTTGAGCTACGTATCTATAGACTTTAGTTAATAATACTCGCCAAGATCGCGGCATCCTTCAACTACTGCATGCTGGGTGCTGCCCCGCTCTGTCTAGATGCTGCGCAGCTGAAGCCAGATGAAGTTCCAGCTCACGAGTGCATGATCCCGGAGCCTAAAGTGAGCTTCCCGAAGAGCTTTCTTTCGGAGATTCGGGCCGATTGGAAGTTCATGAAAGCTCCCTGGCACTGTCGATCGATGCGAGTTGCTCGTATGTACATGTAGCATATATAGTGAAGTAGTTCTACCACAAATGTGCGGTTCAATATTCATATATATGTTATAATTATAACATATATATATATATGAATATTGAACCGCACATTTGTGGTATAATATAACAATAAATTATAATTAAATAGTCAAAATATCTTGAAGGAGCTCTTTTGCTTATCTACTGGATGGAACAGCAAACTCCTGTGCCACCACTGTGAAGCGACATCCGCAAACTACGTTCGATACCCTTCCGCGCTGTGGCATCTCCCTCGCCGGTCAGTTGAGAGCTTCGATTCATGTTGCAAAGCTCATCGAGGAAACAAATGCCGCTTATAACAATTCGAGCCTGCTTGTGTGTACATGTGTGCGGTTATAATAAATAAAATTTATAAATTTCGATTTCCGAGCGGCCTCGGTGCTGAGGCTACCTACTTCAGGTGCGAAGTTTTCATCACTCGATGTGCCGTTGGTGCTCACTCCACACGGTGAACCTGGGAGTTGTTCAATGGGTGGCAGGCTCTTTGCTGCTCGAACTCTTGAAATACCCGGACCCCCAGCTGTGAACTAGGATATGCTGTAGGGTACTTTCGAATCGAACTTATTTATATAAATAACATGGGCATCGTCCCTATCAGCATGCTTCTGTGCGCAGGATGTTTGGCGTGCGCCGGACCGGATTGCTGCCAAAGACCAGATGAATGCACGTCTGGCCCTTGCGTTCGAGGATTTCAACACATGGGCGCGCGAGCGCCGCATCGAGAAGCACCGATTGCAAATAACTTAAGTGTACAGGCATGTCTGTTGTACGCATGCTTGTCTGCATGCGCAGTTTAGTCGTGTTTCCGAGGCACTCTCAACCAGAGTTTTGTGCAAAGATGCTGAGAGATGTGGTGTCCGGGTATGCCGAATTGGCTATGAAGGGCCATAATGCCGCTTGCTCTGTAACTTGTGGTAATATTCTGCAATGGTATGCACAATATCATGATCTTATTGCGGACAAGCCTGATCATGCATCATGAGCATCAAAGGCCAGGGTGGTCATGGCCTGGCTTTCTGACTTTGTCCTGAGCCTTCGCAGCAAGCTCCCTGCTGATGAGCGAACCGAGCGGATGGACGAGATCTGCAAAGTAGCGTTTCCGGTTTCAACGCAGCTGGCTACAGTGTACATGTACACCTTGCAATGTTCGAGGGCCGTTGTGGGGCCTGGGGCTGCTTTCATGCTCAGGTTCTGGCTGGGTGAATTTTTCAATCGCATGGAGCGCTATGGGCACTACTTGACCGATGTGGAGAAAGTCGGGCTTCAAGAAGCCGGTGTGGCTTGGCTATAGTAATAATACAGCTAGACGACTATAATGCCTAATATTTCTTTGTAATATATTTAAATTTTAAAATTTCTAGAAGACGACAACGATCTTGCAGTCGAGGACAAAATGGGTTTGGCTTACGTCAAGCTGGCTTCGTATGCAGCTGATAATGATGAACGGCTTTGGATCTTGCGTCCAAAATTGCATGTATCTTGCAAGCGATCATGTAGGCAGCAGCAGCAGCAGCACTGAAAGCATCCGCGCATTCAATCTGAGGCAATGCAAGAGCTATGCCATTTCGCAACGGTTGATGGTGTCTTGCCCGCAATACGGGCACTGTTTATCCGATCCCCTGCTGTGTCCGATCAGGCATAAATCCGAAATATTACCACACCTTCAGGGATGAGTCCTACATGGGGACAGTCAAAGGCTCCTAATTTGCTGTTCGTGACTTGTCGTGTTGAGTCTGCGTTGATTTGAGCACCAGCCTTAAAGTCATGACAAATCCCTGTGCAGCCATCGCCAAGCAATGCCACCGACGAACCCTGGAAAGCAGCCTGATGAAAAGGGTATATGCCAGGAGCCTTGCATTGTATAAGTATGTTTTCTTAAACTTTCGTCGTTCGAAGCTCATGGTAACATGTTCGTTATCTCGATGCTCCCGGCATGAGGTTTCCTTCGATGCCATGAAGAGTGCGGCTAATTCGAAAACGGTGCTGTGGTGCAGCTAACACACAGCTGCTTTTGCCGATGCACCCGAAGCCCGAGCCATGCGGATGCAAAGAAATGTTGGGTCAAGAGCTGAGATGGGTGTGTGAAATTTGTGCACCATGTGCATCATAGCATCAAGATCACATCCAGCCCCCGAGGTCATTGTACGTATAAATACATCATTTTTTGACATAATCCAGATACCTTCCAGGAGATGGTTTCTTCTTTACATTTATCTCCAGAGTGGTCTTGCCAGCTGATGCCACAACCCTGAGTACCTTTGGACCCTCTGGGTAAGCATTCCATATGTAAGGGTGTGTAAGGGTTCTAAGCGCCATATCTCTATCGCTCTCTCTCTCTCTATATATATATATACACTATATGTCTCATTATGTGTATATGTGTATGAGGGTTCAAAGAGGGACATATTCTTAAACCGCAAAACCTCAACGGTAAATCCTAAACGCTAAAGCCTCCTCCCAGGCATTATTCAGGGAATCCCATTCAGTCAATAATGGGCATGTAGTTCAGGGAAGAGCAGGGCTGTTCTGACAGCCGTTAACTCAAACAAAACCTGTCATAGCAACTAGGCCGTTCAATGAGGAATAACATGGTAATCGTGTCACTTTATCCTGTTGTCCCTGTATGGCCTGTATGGCCTCTATAATGCACCGTTCAATGAGGAATAACCCTCAACCCTGCACCCGATAAATCCTAACCCCTAAACCCTACACCCCTTAAATCCTTAACCCTAAACCCTACACCCCTTAAGTCCTAAACCCTAAACCCTACATCCCTTAGATGCTAAACCCTAAACCCTACACCCCCTTAAATCCTAAACCCTCAACCCTACACCCCTCAAGCCCTAAACCCTCAACCCTGCACCCTTTACATCCTAAACCCTAAACCCTACACCCCTTCAAGCCTAAGCCCTCAATCCTCCATCGGACAGAACATGGCAAGGCCCCTTGTGGATCCCTCATAGAACCCTAATAGATCCCTTTAAACCTAAACCCCTAGACCCCTAGAC